TAGCTTAATATTTTCATCTATTTTACCCAGAAACAAAGATTTATAAATTGCACTGTTCTTTATATTTTACTCTACCCAATGGAAGTAATTTCAAACTAAGTCATTCATTCTTAATTGTTAGAATATAATGAATTAGAACTGTGGACAGATCACATTTACTAATATGCAAATTTTCAGAACTCCTGAGAAGTTTGCGGCAGCTGGGTGTGACTTTATCATGAAAGCCTGACCTCTTACAATGTATCTCCAAGGCTCCCACTTCAAAAGAGAAAATCAAGCATTATCTGCAAATTTGAGATTTTCTTCCTGTTTTTCTGAGCCCCTAAAGTCTCTTCATTCCTTATTCTGGACAAAGGCCACCTGGACAAAGTCTTTGGGGCTGGAAGCGTCTGACCAGTAGCCTATACGGCAGTACAGACACAAAATGAATTAACAAGCTACCTCTGAAATTCTCCACCTCCACTGTCAGAGGGCAAGGGGGAAATGCCAAATATTCTAACTGCACTTTTGAGGTTTTTGTTGAGTTCCAGTGGCTTCTTGTCTTGCTACATAGCACGTTGGATGGAAGATGCATCGATGTCTCAGCTCCTTTGAGATTTCTCTGCAAAAGGCCAATTCACCCATGGCAGCTGGGAAGAGAGGCATTTATTCCCTTCGGCCTTGCATCTTCCTGAGGCTAAGATAGACTTACATTTTCACAGTGGAGGAATTCAAGTCATGGGAGAGAAAATGTGGCCCCCACAAGTAGCATCCAAATCTCCCTCCCTCTTCCCAGTCTCCAGATCTGTTTCGTTACGTGGATAGGAGCAGAATGCAGAATGGTTATGTATTTTGATAAATGTTATGCCCTTAGCCCGGTCACAGTGTCAGCAAGAGTTATCAGGAAGGTCCTTCTGTTGAGTCAGAGTGGATCTGTTGAGCAAAGTGGGGCCATGGTATCCTGGGTCACACCACATCATAAATCTAGCTGGCTTTTCTCAAGAAAAATAGGAACAAATCTGAAGAGGAATAAAGATGCATGTACCCAGTAACATTTTCCCCCCTGGCTTTCAGTGAAAATAATTTGTGTACACTCCTTATTTTTAATCAACAATTAAATATTGAGGAACACAAGGCCTAACCCCACATGCTATAGCGTGTACAGTATGCCTGCCCTCAGGGAACTTCACCTTCTTTAGCCTTACCACTGTCCTTGTGTATACACAGGGATGGTGACAATATGCACCCCTCCTGGCTGTGGTGAGAGCTAAATGAGATAATGCACACAATGTGTTCAGCATTAGGCTCAGTATCTACTAGATAGTACTTGTGGCACTACTAATACTCTAGGACTAATACTCCAGGAGTACTAATAGATATCTACTAGGTAGTACTAGTACTAAAAATAAATGCTATGTTTAATGTAGTTCTTGCAGCAACGACTGTCCCTAATATAGTAACAGCCTTATCACAAAGTATGGAAAGAATTCACTTTTATTTGGGCCAGCATGCAGTTACTTTTTGTGCCATGGGGCATCAGAGAAACCTCCTATGGATGTAGGTTGAGATTTGCCCCCAGATCAAGAGTCACTGCAGAGCACTGCTCACAGTAAAAAAGATTTGGAAGCAACCTATGGGTCCATCAACAGATGAGTGAATAAAGGAAATATATTTATACAGAATGGAGTACTATCCAACCATGAATGACAACCTGTCATTTGCAAGAACACGGGTTGAAGTGGAGATAATTATGTTAAGTGAAATGAGCTAGGCACAGAAAAACAAACATTCCATGTTATCACTTAGTTGTGGGATCTAAAAATTAAAACAACTGATTTTATGAAACTAGAGAGTAGAAGAATAGTCACCAGAGGCTGGGAAGGGCAGTGGGAGCTGTGAGAGAGGTGCTGATGGTTAATGGGCACCAAAAACAACAGGAGAGATGAAGAAGACCTAGTATTTGACAGCACAACAGGGTGACTATCACCAATAATGATTAATTTTCAATTTTAAAATTGCTAAAAGGATATGATGGTATTGTTCACAACACAAAGGATAAATAGTACTAGTGATTAATTTTAAAGTTTAAAATTACTAAAAGATTAATGATTAATTTAAAATTTTAAAATTACTAAAAGAATGTGATGATATTGTTCACAACACAAAGGATAAATGCTTGAGGGCATGGATACCCCATTTTCCCTGATGTGATTATTACATATTGTATGCCTGCATCAAAACATCTCGTGTATACATAAATATCTATCCCTGCTGTGTACCCTCAAAAATTAAAATAAAACATTTTTTTAAAAGAGTCACTGCAGAATTCTTCTGGTAAATTCTAACCCATTGGGATTGCAATACTATATCCCTCAGGACCTAGCAAAGCACCAGACATGCAATGGTCTCACAGCCAATGCTTGTGAATGATTAAATGTTCAATTTGCATCTACTTTTGTCTACCTATAAATGTATCAGGATCTTCCAGGACAGACTCAGAGAGAACAAAGAAGTTGCCTGTGGTTGGCCGGGTGCGGTGGCTCACATGTGTAATCCCAGCATTTAGGGAGGCCGAAGTGGGCAAATCACTTGAGGTCATGAGTTTGACACCAGCCTGACCAACATGGTGAAACCCCGTCTCTATTAAAAATACAGAAATTAGCCAGGCATGGTGGCTCATGCCTGTATCTTAGCTACTCAGGAGGCTGAAGCAAGATAATCACTTGAATCCAGCAGGTGGAGGTTACGGTGAGCGGAGATGGTTCCATTGCCTGGACCTCCAGCCTGGGCAACAAGAACAAAACTCCATCTCAACAACAACAGAAATCGTCTGTGGTTTTAATGTGTTTGGAGACTCTTTGGTAATAAGACCACTGGGCACTAAAAAGAAAGGAATATTTTAAGAGTGGAATCATCAGGAAAAGGAGATTTTCACTAACTATGAGGAAGCCCTTTCTGATAAACGAAGCTATATAAAACCTCAGTAGATCTTGGATGATTTTTAAATCCTTTGAAGGGTGTGTATGTGAGTGTCTGACAGTTTGCATGTGTTAAAATGTTTGTGTGAGTGTGTGCACTGGGTGTGAGCACAGGGGCTCGGAGCAGAGGTGGCACACTTGTTTATAAGGTCAGCTGAGGTATTTTAGCTCTGCCACTCCTCCATATTATCCATCCCTGTCTTTGAGAGTGGCGAAGTTCCCGTCTTCCCACTGCCAGTTGCTGTGTTAGGATGTGAGCTCCTGAGAATGTGTACTTACCAGTTACGGTCATGGCTGCATCCACAGTGCCCAGCACAGCACTAGGCATAGAACACATGCTTAGTAAATACCCGTCAAATTAATGAGTTAATTAAAGGGATAGACTCATTAATCCAACTGCTTTTTCAACTTTTCTATATTGATGTTTTTTAAGCACTTAAAGTCAATGTCTCATGGGCACACCTCAATCTTTCATGGCAAAACCTATTTTGAAACAGTTGCATATATTTAGAAAGGTGCCAAAGCTGTGTACCTCAGAGCTCCTCCTTGGGGAAGGTATGTTGGCATAAACACTCTTGATAGCTTCTAAGCAGAGATTATTGTGGGATATCGCTGAGAATTTTTATACTGCAGAGAAGTTTGTGCAGAAATTTATGGATTTCCTACTCCTGGAGTGAATCCAAATACTATTTGAATTAATATAGACCGAGAATAGTGAAAAACAAGATCTTTCTTGACAATATTGGTTAAAATATGCTTTTTCTTTAGAATGCAAAATTAAAATAAAAGAGACATGGTCTTGAATAATTATTTCTGCTTAGATCATATGCAGTGTGTCAAACACATATAACTCTGTTCCAAATAAAGTCCACATTCTCTTTCCCTCCTTCATCTCCTATTTCTCTCTCTTCATATTTCTCACATAAAGAAAAAGGATCACATACTTCTAGATGCCTTATTGAGTTGCCAGAAATGAACTAAAAATTTTTAAAGATAGTAATTGCATTGGTTAATTTTATGTGTCAACTTGACTGGGCTAAGGGATGCCCAGATGGTAGGCAGAACATTATTTCTGGGGGTGTTTTTGGAAGAGATTAACACTGGAATCAGCAGACTGAGTAAAGATCCCTTGAGGGCTTGAATAGAGCAAGAGACATCCATTTCTTCTTGAGCTGACATCCATCTTCTCCTGCCTTTGAACATTGGAGCTCCTAGTTCTTGGACTCTGGGACTTACACAAGCCACCACCCCCAGCCCCCTTGCCCACTCCATTATCAAGTCTTCAAACTTGGACTGAATTACATCACTTTCTTCCCTAGTTCTCCAGCTTGGTGACACACATGAGGAGACTTCTTGGCCTCCAAAATTGCATGATCCAATTCTCATAATAAATTTCCTCTTAGATATTAATATATAGCCTACTACTTCTATTTCTCTGGAGAACCCTGACTAATACAAGAGTCAGGATGTAATATTGGGCACAGCTCTGGGTAAGTTGCCCTAGTAAATATTTACTGAGCCCATGTTGCCATAATAATTTCCCCATAGTACGAGCATTATGACGGTTCACATTTTATCCTAATAGACTATATAATGTTTATGCTGCATAATCTATAGTAAATATCGATTTTGGCATGACTGCTGCTGCTGATTTGTGTCTCCTTAGCAATGACTTCCATAGGCAACTTGAAGGATATCTAAAAAGCAAGTAGAAGTGCTTTTGTGCTTTTGCAAAGGTTAACACATATGCTAAGAAGCTGGATAGAACGCATTTTATGGACTAAAAGATTCTCTTTACATAGGGAGTCAGAATGGAGAAGAAAGGCCTCACATGGACATTGCAGTCAGAAAAAGCTGAACTGAAAACCCATCTCTACCATTTGATACCAGAGTAACCATAGACATTTCTCCTAGTCTTTTTAAACCCCTGTTTTGCCATCTCTAGGTGGAAATAATTATAAGATTCACTTCTTGATGCTGCTGCAATGATTAAATTAGTTAATATAATACTTTAAAAGCACTTAGCATTGGTGATTGGTACATATTTATATTCATTATCGATCACGTTAATTCTTACAATTATTGCTATTTTTGGGATTCAGAGCAGCTATACTCTGCTTGGACTTTGAGGCAGAGCTTACTTCCATTGGAACAGACTGTTTTGCAAACATCTCATTGGCAATTCTGATCAAGAAATACAGGCCACCACAGGCTGCTACTTTTTGAGAATCCTTGCCAGTTTGGTGAAGTCTATCATGAATCAAAAACAACATTTCAATCTTGGTTGTTGAAAATTCCATGTCTTTGAGTTTCAAATAAGTGCATCTTTTAAATTGATCTTCAGTAGGAGTGTTTCATTTAATGCTTTTTGGTAGTAAAATCTGCCTAAGCAAATGAAGAGATTTCTTGAAAAAAAGTCTGGGGTGAACATTTTGCTCTTAGCAAAAATGGAGTTACAGGAACCAGATTTAGTCTCCTGCCTGAAACAACAACAACAACAAAAACAGATGTAAATAAGTGAAAAAACAATTTGTAAAATACCACAATAAACCAACACAGGACAGAAAGATAAGGAATAAATGAAGCGAGTGATTCAGCTAACTGCCTTGAGTTTCTGGACAGTGGTGCAGGGCAGGGTCGCAGTGGGGTAGGGAGGCTCCCTTTCTTGAGAGATGGAGATAACAGTTAAGAAAGACCAAAGCAGCTACAGCCTGAAGGATGAAGGAGCAGGGAGAATAGAGCTGTGCAGAGACAGATATGCAAAGACGTGCTGGGGGTCCTTTGGAGTATTCAGCTCAGTACTGATGAACACTTGTGTGTGAGGAAACTACCTAAGACCTGGATAAGAACTATCAGAAAGAATTAGAGTCCCAGGGCCTGGGATACACATGGTTCTGGGATACTGCCTATGTAAATACATACATATATATATGCATATATGTATACACATGTATATATGTATATATACATATGTAATATATATAAGTATATATGTATATATACATATGTAATATATATAAGTATATATGTATATATACTTATGTAAATACATATGTGTATATATATATGTGTGAGTGTGTATATACACATATATATATCTCCACCTATGTATTTACATAGGTAGTGTGTAATATATATATATTAAGAGACAGGGTCTTGCTCTGTTACCCAGGCTGGAGTGCAATCACCTAGGCTGGAGTGCAGTGATGTGATCATAGCTCACTGCAGCTTCAACCTTCAGGGCTCAAGCAATCTTCCTGCCTCAGCCTCCTGAGAAGCTGAGACTACAGGTGCAAGCCACCGTGCCTGGCTAAATTTAAAAAAAAATTTTTTTTGTAGAGACAGGGTCTTGCCATGTTGCCCTGGCTGGTATTCATCTCCTGGGCTCAAGCTACCCTCCAACCTCAGCCCCTCAAAGGGCTGGGATTACAGGTGTGAGCCTGTATCACTAGCCACATTAAAAAAACCTCAAGATCTGGGAGGCACTGGCGAAAGTCCTCAGAAAAGCCTTTCCTTTTAGTGTAAATAATTAACTCTAAAGTGAGAACTAGTCCTGTTCAGCCAAACAATTCTTAAACGCAGGAACAAAGAGGCTCAAACTGCTTCTCATCAGCTTCAGAGAATCCCGTAACAAAACTCAATAATATTTCTAAGAAAACAAAAATGTCCCGTGGTCAGCAAGGCAAAATTACAGTGTTTGCCATGTAATAAAAAAGTATTAGCCGTGCAAAGTAGATCATGAGGAGACCCATCAGTCACCAATCACACCAGCCTAGAACGGACAGTTATTGCAGTCAGCAAATAGGAAAAGTAAAATGGTATGACTGTATTTTCTATGTTCAAATAATTAAGTTAAATCTCATTTTTTATTATTTGTGAAAACAAAATTAATCAGAAATATGAATAGATCACATTTTTCTTTTTTCTTTTCTTTTTCTTTTTCTATCTGACAGAAAGGATAGATCACCTTTAAAAAACAGCACTTTTCAGAAATGCTAGGACGTTTCTTTTGCTGGGTGTGGCTTTCTAGAAGAAAGCTCAAGCTTCTAAACCATGGCTCTCAGACACTTGCTGTTACTTTTTTCTCCAAAGAAGCTAACATTCTCCTATTCCTGGATATTTTGGCATCTGACCAGATTAAATACAGAGGATTTGTAAAGTGCCAAACTTGAATAATATTTTATTATAATATTAAGGCTAATTGCATGCTGCATATTTCATAGTATAGATATAGTAGTTATTGTTTTTGGCATATGTTTTTGCCCTCAGTATAAGAAGGCACTAAATCAAATATAATTGTTTCAAGTTAGTCTTTGCTTCAAGCTAGAACAAAAATTCTCTGAAAGCAAGACCTAGATATTGTTCTATTATATATTCTTTGAACTTCAGTACCTGGCATAAGCCCAGATAATTCTTGAATTAAATTGATTCAATATATTTGGCCTAGAAGTGGAGACAGAAAGGCAATGGTGGTAAAATACCTGCAATCAATTTATTTTTACAATAGAGTCTGACTCCTTTACTTGCAGAAATGGAAATAACAAACATGGGACTGTTGCTTCTGACCACGATAAAATAGTTGTTGGCAGACTAGCCCTCCCTCTGAGAAAATGTTATGAAAAATATGAACAAAGCAATAACGTTTTAATGGCCAATATATTAAAGGGGTATTACATGTAGTTGGTACTTACAGATATTCCTTTATTAATGCATTTTTATATTTGCTATTGCTGATAAATTCCCAAAGAAAATTCATAGTGTGTTAAAAACAATCCTCTCCTATTTTGTTGGGGACTACACAAGCAAATATATCACTAAAGAAAGAGGACTTGAAAAACGAATCTCATTTCAGTCTGTTTTCCCAGTAAATTTCCAAAGGCGTCCATATTCCATCTAAATATAGTCACCTGTATTCTCCAAGGACACACATTTACTACAGTCCTGACAGGTTCAGGTCTTGAGCTCGGGGAAATTTAAAATCATGCCCTACCACTTTCAAGCCCTTCATGACAGCCAGGCCGTAACCACCTTCATATTCGTTCTTGTACTGTTTTGCTTTCCTCCCTTTGCAGGTCCTGAATCATGTAGATCTGAAGGCAAAATGTAATTTCCATCCCTAGAAAATGTCACGGCAATGCCGGAGGGCCATATGTTGAGGACATTGTTAGCTAAATATATCACGCTGCCTTCATGCTTAGAGTAAATGTTTTAACTTATAATTTTTCATTGCTGAATAATAGCTCACACCGAGAACGCCTTAGCCACTTCTCGCGGTCCATCTCGAAGGCATTTACGTTGCGGGTCCTGGAATGCAGATCCACAGTTCTGGTTGGTGGCTTTCCTGAGCAGCACTGCAGATGGTGCTCTTATGGGATAGAAGCAAACTGTCATTTCCACGGAGGAGATTTCAAAGCTTGCCACAGTGGCAGATGCCTTTCCCGGGAGCTGGGAAAGGAATTCTCTGCATCATCAGGACAAACTTGGCCCCTGCCTTTTGACAACCGTGTTTTATTTAACAATTAATTATTAAATAAACTACTAACATTTATTCCATTATTTATTGATTTAAAGATAGTTTTGAATCTACAGAATAGTTGTCAAGACAACTATTACAGAGACTTCTCATGTACCCCACACCCAGTTTCCCCCTATAATTAACATATTTCATGTCCATGGTACATTTGCCACAATGCGTGACCCAATATCTCTATATTATTATTAACTAAAGTCCATATTTATTCAGACGTCGTTAGTTTTTACCAAACGGCCTTTTTCCATCCTGGGAGCCAAGAGACCACGGTGCATTCGGTCATCACTTAGACTCTCCTTAGCTGGGACCGTTTCTCATGCTTTGTAGTGAATTGTATCCACTATTCAACTTTTTTGATGCTACTGAGTTTTGAGAAAAGTAGTCAGATATTTTATAAAATGCCCTTCTCTTTGGGTGTCGTTTTTCTCATGGTTAGACATGCAGTTATGTTTTGTTTGGGGGAGTGGTTAAAATTTCTTTGAGATAACTCCCAGGCAATTGCAAGAAATAAAGCACACAGATCCCTTGATCCCTTTGCCAAATGTCCACAATGGTAACTTGTAAAACTCTATCATAATACCATAGCCAAGATATTGACATAAGTGCAGAAGTATAATCTACAGATGGTTTTTGTCACAGGACCTTGCTTGTTGCCCAGGCTGGAGTGCAGTGGTATGATCATAACTCACTGTAACCTCGAGCTCCTGCACTCAAGAGATCCTTCCAGCCCTCAGCCTCTTAAGTAGCTGGGACAACAGGCATGGGCCACCTGCTTAGCTACTTTTCTTATTTTTCATAGAGGTGGGGGAGTCTCATGTTGTCCAGGCTGGTCTTGAACTCCTAGCCTCAAGTGATATTCCTGCCTCAACCTCCCAAAATGCTGGGATTACAGGCATGAACCACTGTGCCCAGCCCCAGATCTTGTTTTGATTTCACCAGTTATATGGGCACTCATTTGTATGTGTGTACTAAGTTGTATACAGTCTTCTCACCTGTGTAGGTTCCTGTATCCCCTACCAAGTCAAGGTACTGAACAGTTTCAACACCACAAGCATTCCTCTGTTGTCCTTTGCTAACTAAACCCATCTCCAAACTACCTTCCTTTAGACTCCCCTGCCCCACCATTCCTTAATCTCTGGCAGGTACTCCTTTTCTGAACATTTTCCCCCTTTAAATAACATTGAATATATAGAATCACAAATCTGGGCTTTTGGTATTGGAGTAATTTTTGTATATAATTATTTTTTCAATACAATTCCCTGGAGATTTGCTCAAGTTGTTATGTATATCAATATGTCACTTCTTTTTAACCGTGGAGTGATCTTCCATTGTGCGAATGTACTATTTACTGCTAGTTGAGCCACCTGGAAGACATCTGGGCTAATTCTCATTTTGTGGCTATTACAAATAAAGTTGCTATTAACACATTATACAGTAGTGAGTCTTTTCTTGTTTGGTAGTAAAGAAAAAAGAAGCTCAAAATAGAACAAAACGTCTTTTCTATGATGTATGATTTTTTCAATTTCTGGGAGATAAATAAGAAGTTTCCTATAAACATCATTTTTAGTTGAAAACACTTATCTCCTCCAAATTTTCTCATTACAAACTGTTCCTCAGATATACTAAGTAATTATTTTTTGAAGATTTGGGTTTTAATCATTTCTTTCACTTTTTTTTTTGAAATTGTTGTTTACTCCATCACACGTACAGTACTCTCAAGGAAAAATGTGAGCCCTGTGTCTCACAAGTCTTCTGAGAATGTGAATAGTGAGGAAGAAAGAGAAATCAATGTGTGTGACAGCTATTACTCAGCCACTGCAGCAGTGCTGGTGGGAAGATTACTTACCTCTCTTGGTTAAAATTGGAATGTAAGTGTTGGGGAAACAATAACAACAAAAAAAGAATTCTGATGTCAAAATATATCCCTACACTCACAATTGGATGTCTTGCTGAGGAATCTGAACTTCATACACCAGTTTCAGGAGGTGAGCTGTGATGTGAAGCTGGAATACCATATTCGTAGTTTCTGTGTACTTATTTTTTTTCTCAATTTTTAAAATTTTCGTTAAAACTATATTATATTGAGGCGGGCCATGGTAGCTCATGCCTGTAATCCCAGCACTTTGGGAGGCCGAGGTGGCTGGATCAGCTGAGGACAGGAGTTCAAGTGCAGCCTGGCCAACATGGTGAAACCTCGTCTCTACTAAAAATACAAAAATTAGCCAGGCATGGTAGCACACACCTGTAATCACAGCTACTCGGGATGCTGAGGCAGAAGAATCACTGGAACTCAGGAGGTGGAGAATGCAGTGAGCCGAGACCAAGGTATTGTACTCTGGCCTGGGTGACAGAGTGAGCCTCAGTCTCAAAAACAAAACAGAACAAAACAAAACAAAACTATATTATATTCCCTCTGTCACCTATATGCCTTTTCATATTCAATATAAACACCTTGGAGTTAAATCCTGGATTTAATGCATGGGGAGATATAGTTTTCAGTGCAGCCTGTTGCCAGTTAGCAAAATTTAAGGAGCCCACAGGGGTACATATGACTTTGTCTAGTCCCAGTCTCAACCTGATGGATTATTCCCACAGACCTCATGTTACAGAAGACAGATTTAGTCTTGGGTACACATTTAAGAAATTGAAGATAGGGACAGGGTGAATCAATGACAGTTGCCAAACAAGACATAAAGGCTCTATACATACCAGCACTGGGTTCCATGAGAGGTCATTTCGGTCCAGTTGGTAGGGGCATCTATGAGTGACATAGCCGGGTTGATCAATAACCAGCCTAGAGTAGATAACACTCATTGTGTACTCAACTCTGTGTTGGGTGTTTCATATACCAAGGGATGTAAGTTTTTAAAAACCTACCAGTTATCATCTGGGGAGCTTGTAGTTTGGCTGGGAAGACAAGGCGTAGCACATAGAAGATGTGGATAGGACATGAGGGTTAGATCGTGTAGAGTAGACTGTGTCTGCCATTGCAGTTTGGAGCCAGCTGGCTTATGGATGTGGTGGGGTAGACTGGCCTCTTTAAGAATGGGGTATTTATGGGTAATCAGAGAGAATTTTGCAGGTGGGAGTAACAGTGAGTAAAGGTATTGGCATGCACCTGGTGAGGAAGGATCAGTGAGGACACAGCTTCTCCAAGTGAGAAATTTTATCTGGGTCTACAGAGAAGAGGACAGAAAGCACAAGACTGGCCAGTGGTGGTCAGGGACAGGAAGACATTCCCTCAGCTTGACATAAATCAGCGATTAACTTGTAGTGCCCAGGATGTTACATCTTGTAACCTTCCTTACAATGTTCTATCTCAATGATGCACACAAGGTAAGTATTAATAGTATGATCCCACTTTATGTAGGAGCAAAATGAGGTTCAGAGGAAACATGATTTATTATGGTCCCCTGAGAACTAGATCCCAGGCAAAAATCTTGAGCAAAGTAGTGAACGAGGTCTCAGACTCTAGAGTCAACCTGCCAGGATCTGAATTTCGGCTCGCTTATCAGATGGGGATACTGGCAGGGTCTCAGCCTCTCTGTGCCTCAGTTTCCTACTCTCCAAAATCAAGATAATGAGAAATCCTATAGCAGGATTTCAGACTCAGTGGGAGAAAACGTCTGCATTTGTGCCCTAAAAATAATTTTAAACTTTTGGACATAGTGTATATAAGATGCATCTAGGTGTAAGTAGGTTATTCTCCCTGCAATAATGATATTTAATAATTCCTGTAGGTGATTCTTTTTTCTTTTCTTTTGCTTTTGAGATAGGGTCTTGCTCTGTTGCCTGGGCTAGAGTGCAGAGGTGTATTCTCAGCTCACTGCACTCTCTGCTTCCTGGGCTCAGGTGATACTCCCATTTCAGCCTCCTGAGTAGCTGAGACTATAGCCACATGCCACCACACCCGGCTAATATTTGCATTTTTTTTTGGTTGACATGGGGTTTCTTCATATTTCTCAGGCTGGTCTTGAACTCCTGGGCTCAAATGTTTCTCCTCTGCAGCCTCCCAGTGTTGAGATTACAGGCATAAGCCACCATGTCTGACCTAGATGATATTCAATAATCCCATTTTCCTTTCTCCCATTTCTTTCCAGACACACGCACATATTCACACAAACACACACATTTCTATCTCTGGCTGTTGCAAGTATACATCCAGCACCTCTCCTTGCTCTGACTTAGTATAAATTGTGGTGAGACATTTTCAGGGCAGGGTGTCGTCCTGCTGTGGCTTCAGATGTGTCTGATTTAACATGTTCATGGATGACACCAAGCAAGGCCCATAATTTCAGCCCTAAGAGCAAAGACGCCAGTCCAACAAATAAAGCAGAGAAACTTCCAAGAGGTGTGACTATGAGGGCACAGATGCAGTGCTCACAGGTGCTTTGATTGGTGTTCGCTGAGGCAAGGCATACCACCCCTGTTTCCATGGAACATGGCCTGTGTGGAGATGAATCTCATGATGAGTGCCCAGCTTATTAATTATCCATGTTAACGTCTATGCACTGCATGGAGGTTCAGCCCTAGTGAGGGCAGCCTCTAGTCACAGCCTGGTCCTTCACACATGAGTCAAGCCCTCCATAGTCTAGCCTTCCATGTCCAGAGCATCAGGTACAGGTTAATCTTGTGTAAAGGCAGCAGTCTCCTAATTTTAGAGTAGGTGACAGGTATTCCCTAACTGCAGAGCCCTTTGGTTTCCTGAGCTTAGGGTCCTGCAGTCATTCACACCCCAGCTCAGGGTGCTGTGGTCATTCACACCTGAGGCAGGTGAGGTGGCTGCACACTCTGCTGAACCTGTCTTCAGAGCTGCAGGTGGAAAGGAAGACGAGGAAGAAGAGGACAGCATGCCTGATGCTGAAAAACCAGCATCACCAGGACAGTGATATGGGGACCAGTAGACAGGTCTCCTGCCCAAGTGGCATGAGCCACTTCAGGTCTCCAGGCTCTAGGGCCAGCTCTGCCAGGCCACGGGGTGCTGCACCCCAGAGCTTAGTGCCTGAGCACACCTGACTCCATAAAGTGGGGGAGTGGTTTATGAGGTCCCATCTCCACACACGTTGAGTGGAGAGAATTTATCTGTATTCACCTACAGGGAAATGGACTTTACCAGCACATGTGTGGCCCTATGTGAAAATGTGAGGAAGCCTGTGATGATTTTCACGTGACCTCCAGCTCCAATTCCAACAAAATAAAACATTTTCAGATCCATTACGAGCAAGTACTTCTAACAGTCTCCAAGAAATGTACCTCGTTGGTGACAGGTGTGATTTTCAAGCATTTTAAAATTCAAACATTATTATCAAACTCAGAGGACATCACACATTTTTGATGCCTTATTTCCATGTAGATCTTGTTTTTCCTCTTTATTCTTTTCTGCCATCATGATGGGAATATGTGCCATTTCCAGAGGCATTATTTAGGAGTTTGGCAGAACCGAGTCTTTTAAGTAGCAAGGACAATTGCTCAGAAAGACACCACAGAGTTGGAACGGACGTGAAGGAGGATACCAGAAGACAGAAATGATGCCCCCCTATGAACACAGATATTACTGAATATTACATGTGTGAGGCCAGATATGAGAGTTCAAATGTAGCAAGCTTCTACTTTGAACACACTGAGATCATCACAATCTCTGCATTTTGATATGGCAGACATCATCACTGCAGGCAAAAATAAAACATCACTTGGTGTTCTTTTCACATATCTTGGTTCTTGGGTTACCTTAATATTCAAAGCCCACCCTACTTTTAGGTTAAAACTGATGCTATTTTTAAGATGTCCTTGGTTGGAAATTGAAGAGAAAAGGTTTCTCTACGTTCTCACTGAATTCAAGCCAAAGATCTGACTCCTTGAAGACAAATTTTCTGGAACTACCCCAGGGTATGGGTTGTACGGGTGGATTGGTTGAAGGAAGGTCCGCTGCATTAGTCTGTTCTCACACTGCTCTTAAAGATATATCCAAGACTGGGTAATTCATAAAGAAAAATAAGTTTAATGAACTCACAGTTCCACATGGCTATGGAGGCCTCACAATCACGGTGGAAGGTGAGGGAAGAACCAAGGCATGTCTCACATGGTGGCAGGCAAAGAGAGAATGGAGGGGTTTCTCGTTGTAAAACCATCGATATCATGAGATTTATCCACTTCCATGAGAACGGTATGGGGGAAACTGTCCCCATGATTCAATTACCTCCCACTGGGTCCTTCTCACAACATGAGGGAACTATGGGAGCTACAATTCAAGGTGAGATTTGGGTGGGGACACAGCCAAACCATATCAGTTTGCCTTGACCCCAATGCAGGGTCTTCACTCACGGGTTTATGTGTCATTTTTCCATGGGCACTTGCCTTATGCCAGACACTGATGTGGTCCCTGGGGGCACCACAGTGACCATGACAATCAAATTCCTGCCTTCAGCATAGTCACATACAATGGAGGAGTCAGACAATGCACAAGGCAACTAATAAACATATCATTTCAAGTTGGATAAAATGCTGTGAAGGTACTAAACAAGGTGGTTTGATGGAGGGAGTCTAGAATGGAAGTGACGGAGTTACCTGAGGCAGCGAGGACAGGGAAGGCTTCTCTAGGTTAAGCCATGAGGGTGCTGTTCTGTAAGAAGGAAAGACACAAAACAACCAGACCAGGGGCAGGAGCTCCAGGCATAGGGCACCCCAGGGCACAGCCCACAGGCAGGAATGGGCTTGACTTGTTTCAGAAACAGAGATGGACATGGTGGCCAGCATGTGTGAGTGTTTACTAATTGACCACATGGCAACAAGACAGTAGAAGGCAGATTTGGAAGCAACAAATTCTAAATTCTGATTCCAAATTGGCTGAAGAATAAGGACAGTCTTTGGAGATGTTTTGGTTTATAGCTCTTTTCCAACTATCTCTTGTGGCAGGAAGTAAGCTGCTCCCCTGTGCCCCAACTCATATCAGTGAAGGATCGAAGCCACTGTGTCCAGCCAGGATTCTGCTAAGACTCTTCAGGTGCAGTCACTGTGGCACTAGGACAGAATTAGAGCTTTTATAGAGCAGGCACATGACATCCGTGCTTCTACATAAAAAATGCCTGATGGATCTGGAGTTGTCCAACATTGCCCTGAAAATTCTGTAGATCAAGACACTCCTGTTGCTTACTATTATTCTCTGTGCAATTGCAATTGTGACCTTCATTATAGTAGACAAAAGCTTTATTTATAACATAGCAAAAGCAGATTTTACTTATGTCAATCAATGCTTTTATTTTCCACCAGGATGGTGACTAGACTCTGCTTTTAGGACAAACTAAATCTTCTTCTGTCTGTTGAACAATTTATTTTAAATCTTGAAGGCAACCAAGCTCAATCAGGAGTTGTGGACAGGTTAGTGAAGATGGTTCTAAATATGGGATTTTCTAGGTTTAAAGGAAGCAAAGTGAAATGAAAGGCTGATACAATGAGCTATGAATATAAAATGTAAAATCACACATGTATATAGAGATTTAAAATAGGATCACATATTTACAAAACTTAAGTGTTTATTAGATGTGATAATATAAATTATTTTTTGTTATTTTAGATGTGGTTTTGTCATGTTTCAAAAATGGTCCATTTCAAATAAATAAAATATCTACAAATTGTTTTTGACTTTTACTTATTTTCTTAAGAGAAGATGTCTTACTATGCTGTCCAGGCTGACCTGAAACTCCTGGGCTTAAGGGATCCTCCAGTCTCAGCCCCCAGAGAAGCAGGAATTTCAGGTGTGAGTTACTGCACCCAGCCCCCTTACAGTTTTTATGTAAAACACACACACACACACACACACACACACACACACACACACACACACACACACGCTTCTATCTCTGAAGGGATTTTTAAACCTTGCAGAAACCTGTGGTCACAGCTTATTTCCAATGTTTTGTTTCTGCAGAGGCTTTTGGTGACCTGACCACTTTGATATTTAGAGTTCAACTCAGTGCTTCAACTCTGTGACCACACAGCCTACAGTGTGGTCTGTTGTCTCTAAACTCTTAAACATCTATTTCTCAGGTACAGACCCATCTTAGACCTTTGACCCATGTTTTTATTTCTGAATATGTGGTGGTTAATCCTTTCAGAGCCAGTTCTAACTTCCATGCACAACTGAAGCTTCCAAATGGGTTTTGGCCATGGTGAGAAGCCCTTACTTTACATTTCTCTGAATGGAATAATTGAATAGACATAATTACAAGGCTCTGTGCCGTGTGAAATTGTAAATAGCACTGACAATGTAATTTGCATTCATTTATGATACAGTAACTCATTACGGGTCCAATTTTCATCCCCTTCATTAACAAGCTCATCTGTTTCTCTGATGGAAGCCCCTCTTGTATTAGATGCAGCTTTTTGCCCAGAGAGATGCCCAGGGTGGGGACTGGGGCTGAGAAGCCGGCTTGGTGTTGCTGACAGTCAGGCGCATGGCAGACTGGTTTCCCCCCGGGGCATGTGGACACCTCAGCAAAAGACAAGTGTGTGTGAATTCTGGGCTGTCTAGTCAACCTTTAATTTAAACATGTACATTTTGCTTGGTTGGATTGCAGGGAATTATTATATCAAATAAGTAATGAAAACAGATCTTGCCACCAACAAAATAATAATGAGAAAGAGGAAGAGAAGAAACATGCCACCAATTAACATAATAATATTAATACTAATGGGGAGGAGAAGACACAGACAAGGATCATATTACTTGTGAATCCATCCATGGGTCAATCTCATTGTAGTTACTCAGAATCCTCCACTGTCATTACTTTATCTCACATCCTGGGTCCCATGGGCTGCTCATCTTTATTTTTTATTTTAATTTTAGGTTATGTTATATTTTAAAAGGAAGGCCTCATAATTTTGCCCAGGCTGAGCGCAGTGGTGCCATCATAACTGACTGCAGTCTTGAACTCCTGAGCTCAAGTTCTCCTTCTGCCCCAGCCTCCCAAGTAGGTGGGACTACAAGCTGGCACCACCACCCTTGGCTAGTTTTCTTATTTTTGTAAGAGACAGGGTCTTGATATGTTGCCTAGGTTGGTCTTGTACTCCTGGCCTCAGGTGATCCTCTGTTTAATCTAGAAGGCTGTTATAAATATCAAGTGAGATAACATGCAAAGGCAAAACCGTGCCTTTTAAAATTTTACCTGTTGTACTGGGTTGAATAGTGTCCTCAAAAAAAATTATATTCACCTGCAACCCCAGAATGTGACCTTATTTGACAATAAAGTCTTTGTAGATGTAGAGTTCATGATGGATTATCATAGTATCTAAATCCAATGACTGATATCCTTATACAAAGGCCATGTGAGGACACCCACAGAGGGAAGGCTATGTGGGATGGAGGCAGCGATTGGAGTGATGTGGCCATAAGCTGATGAATGCCTGGGGCCAGAAGAAGCTGGAAGAGGGGAAGAAGTATTCTTCTCTAGATCCTTAAGAAGAAGCACAGCCCTGTTGACTCCTGGATTTCAGACTTCTGGCTTCTAGAACAGTGAGAATTAATTCCTGGTGTTTTAAGCCACACAGTTTGTAGTGTTTTGTAATGGCAACCACAGGAAGCTAACACATCTGCCACAGTAACAGTCCTTGCTCCATGGCTTTTTTGTAAGGATTAAATGAACAGCTAAGTGGTGAACACAGTGCCCGATACAGGGTCAGCACTTCTGGAACATCTTTAAGGGAGCTGTGTAGAATGCTCCATCTATGGATCAAACCAAGGTTGTCCAACTCACAGGATACAGGCTGCATGCAGCCCAGGGTAGCCCAACACAAATTCATAAACTTTCTAAAAACATTATAAGATTTATCTGTGATTTTTTTTAACTTATGCTATCACTAGTGTTACTGTATTTTATGCGTGGCTCAAGACAATTCTTTTTCCAGTGTGGCCCAGGGAAGCCACAAGATTAGACATCCCTGGACTAAAACTTCCATTGTGAAAACATAACAGTGAGAGATGGGTGTTGTATTAGTCCATTTTCATGCTGCTAAAAAGAAATGCCTGAGACTGGGTTCTTTATAAAGGAAAGAGGTTTAATTGACTCACAGTTCTCCGTGGCTGGGGAGGACTCAGGAAATTTACAATCGTGGTGGAAGGGAAAGCAAACGTGTCGTTCTTCACAAGGCAGCAGGAGACAGATGTGCAAAATGAAGGAGGAAGAGCCCCTTATAAAACCACCAGATCTCTTGAGAACTCACTCGCTATCACAAGAACATCATGGGGGGAACAGCCACCATGATCCAGCCACCTCCCGTAAGGTCCCTCCCCCAACATGAGGGGATTACAATTTGGATTACAATCCAAGAAGAGATTTGGGTGGCGACACAGAGCCAGATTATATCAGGTGTTGTCCCAGAGAAAGAGAGAATATGTTTTCCCAGAGGTGTCAGCTATAAGCAAACAAGGACTAAATAGAGAGAGAAGTTTAAAATCCCTCATTTCTGCTATTCCTCTTCAGCAACTCTACATTTCCCCATTCTCCTGCTGCTAGGTTCCTGCCTCCTTGTCCAACTGCACAGAGCAGCTGATTCCCTGAGACACTCATTACCTGTGCTGTTCATCACACGTGCTGGTTTAAAATTAGGCTATCTGAAAGCCCACGGTAAAAGAAGAGCACATGGGGACATGTTTATAAGCAGGCCAAATTTAATTTGATTTTTCTCTTGTTAAAAGGATCGTTTCACTTTGCAGTTGTGCGTTTTGCATTATCATGTTTTCTCCATGGTTGAATCCATAGGTCCTAAAACTGTGGTCATGTGACAAAACACCAGAAGATTGTGGGAATCTTTGCAGCGGACTGGTCAAATAATTTGCATTAAATAAAAACAGAACAATTAATAATCAATTTAGTTGTTTTGTGTTAAATGAGATGCAATCTGAAATTAGTTATGGCATAGACAATGTTTAAGAGAAACATAAATACAAAGAATAAACATATATCAAACATTCCCCTCCTGTTTATACAGTCATTAACCATTATTAATTCTCACTGCTAAATAAGACAATCATAGTATCCAGTTGGTGGGACTATGGTAAGGAAAAAATGAGATTGTGCTTAAAAATAAGCATTTAACCCAATGTGTAGCACATAGTAACTCTTCAATAAACAGCTGATATCCTCAAAAGGAACATTGTATTGGGGCAGTTTCCCAAATGCCACTCCTTAGATGAAGGTTGGGTGATGATAATGTTTCCAGCTTTCTCACGATGCTTTCCAGATAATCTCTCACTGTTCCATGTCAATGCTTTCCAGATAATCTCTCACTGTTCCATGTCGGCAGTAAGGGAAGCCTCTGGCTGCCTGGCCCAGGGAGTGGGAAGCCCCAGTGGTGGGGCATCCGGCTGGGGAAGCTCACCCCTTCTGGCACTGTGAAGAGAAGAAGTTGTGCTTGCCAATGCCTACACCCCATGGGACAAGTTTGCAACCTTCACTGGAAAGAATTAGGCTAGTTCTTCTCAATGAGTCTTTGCTGTTTTATCAGCTCAGATTGGGAGGAATAATGCTTAGAATGATTCTTCCATTTTGGCCAGCCTGTAGAAAAATAGTTATTATTTTTAAAAATTATTATTATTTGAAATAAAAGCCATGTTTCAGAGCAAGTCTGGGAACCTCTTGTGCTGTAGTTAAGAGCTTTAGAATGAAGCAAAACTTAATTACAGTATTTTAACAATGGTTTTCCATCACTGTACCTAGTTATTGAATGAACATGATAAGTTTCAGATTTTCCTGCCTGTGACAATGAGATGATAACTTCTGCTTCCTGGGGCTTTCATGGGGCCAAATCAATAGTGCAGGTTAAATCCTTAGCACATTGTGTGCTGCACCCCAGGAGCTCCTGTACAAAGGGCAGCTGTTCCTCTTGATCCACTGTGGCAGCTAATCCCCTCCTTCCAGCTCAAGAATTGTCCTTCGGTTACCTGAGCCTGCACTGTCAACACAATTAACCTTGGTGGCAAATATAGTTTAATTCACAGTTCAGAAATGCGAGCCTCAGGGTTAAGTAAATCACAGGTCAAACTAGTCTGGTATTTGTGTGTGTGTGACAGGCATTGCTTTGCAATTCCCTGGAAGGGAGGGGGGATGTATGGGTTTACAAGGGTCTATGTGTTTGTAATTTGGTTTGAAATTACAGTTTTAGTTTGTGGACAGGTGGCATCTGGCTCCATTACATAGCAAGAGAAACACATTCCTGTTTCCCTGACTTGATGTCACTCTGTTCTCTGTCTCCCTTCATTCATCATGTTGATTGGAGAAGAGATGTCAGCCAGGACGAGTGAGTCGGTGCCAAAGAGAATTAGGGATTTTTAAAATCTTTATGTTAATGTATCCAACTTACTTTTTTTTTTCTTTTTCTATTTAAAAATGCTTACCTCGAATTTAAATTTGATGCAGCTTTCTTCCTAAAACTGTATTATTTATATAATGGTGGAGTACTTTTTGTTTAGTCAAAGCTCATTGTTGCAGATATTTTGTCCCTGGTTCTTCAAAGTGGCCCAAATAACCTTGACGTTGCACCGGAATGACTGCACCTTTGGCCTGAAGGGTTGATAGGGAGAACCTGTGTGGTATCTTTTGATTTATCAATTCATCCCAATGTTCCATTTATGGAGAAAAAAATATTTCAAAGTGGCCTGTGTTCTGCACAATGTTCATAGTGGTTAGCAATGAGAAATTGCAGTCTTTATTTTTTTCTACATACAAAATTTTAAATCATTATAAAAATAATGTTATTCATAGAAACATTTCAGAAATATAGAAAATAAAATATTATTTTTTATATATTTATATAAATAAAAAAGTCAAACAAAATTTAAACTTATAAATGTTTTTTTCTCATTTTTCTGTGTATTTACATATTTTCCTGTGATCCTGTTTTATACATTGCATTGTTTTCTGTTTTTCATACAATATTAAATATAAATATTTGCCACATTATTCAAAGTTCTTCATAAGCATAACTTAATGCCTATATAATCTTTATTCTTTGAGTGACTTTGTTTTAATTAATCCCGTTGCTTATAAATTTACGTAACACTGAATGCTCCTTTTGTAGTATTAATAGCAGAATTAGGTGTGATAACTAATCTTATTGAGCATTTGCTCGTGCTGGAAACTGTTACATGCTTTCCATTTGACTGTCTTATGATCCTCAAGAGCGTGGGAGGTGAGGTCTGTTATAACCACCATTGGACACAGAGGCTTGAGTTAATTAAACATATCCAAGGTCACAAGTTTAGGGCCAGGTGTGACCATTAGTTGGGAGTGTAAGACATGTGCCGTGCTTGGATTCATGTCAGGAAGAAGAGTCCTGCTGCATTTTTGGTGTTGTATCTTTTGTGGGGAGAACGTGGCTCATGGTGTGGCTGAGCCCTCCATCCACTTGCCTCTATCTGGGTCAGAGCTTCCGTGTCTTTCTTTATCCTCCCCTCGTTCTCATCCTGTCTTCCTTCTTTGTTTCTTTTCCAAGTCCTCTGAGCACTTTCTTCCCTTCCTTTGCCTCAAGGCCCAGTTGCCATTGGTTTTGCTGCAATTTGTTCTAATGCCCAGCTAATTTCAGGGTTTCATGCCCTTGAGGAACTGTTTAAAAAAAAAGTGTTTAACCCCTTGAACTTCTTGATCTTGATGTAATAATCATGAGCAGCTACAGCTTTTTGATCATTTACAATGTACTGCATGCTCTGCTAAGCCCGTCACCTTCAGAATACTACTTATGTCTTACACACAATCATCTGAGGTGGGCATCATGATCATTATCCCCTTATTACATGTGGGGAAACTGAGGCTTGAAGACATTAAGTGGTAAGCTCTCTGTCACGCGGCCAGTGAGTGGCAGCACTTGGATACAAACCCAGCTCTGTTGGACTCCAAAGCCAGAGCTCCCGGCCGCTCAGTTAAGTGGTTCATCCATATGGGTGCTAACTTTCACTTTTTCTGAGCAAGTTTTATGTTACTGTCATATTGACAATTACTGATCACCAGTTTTGTTTAAAATACATCTTTCAGTTAAAACAGACTTTTCCACGTGGGCTTTTACAATAAACAAAGGACAGTGAGAGATAAGGGAAAATGCAGATAAAACATGCTAGGAGAGCATCAGATTGTGGTTAAAAGCACTTTCTTTGAGGTCACATGGCTGCGGTTTCCAATTTTAGCTCTGCCTTTACTAGCTTTCTGACCGTTCATTAAGTTCTAAGCTCCAGTCTCCTTTTTGTCAGAGGGATAATAGTAGTGCCTGCCTCATAAGATTGACATAAAAATGAGATAAAACAATGGATATAAAATACTTAGCATGGTGCCTGGCACATGGGGAATAGCTGACTGTATGAATGAATAAATGGCTTTGCAAAACAATCTTTTTCCATCTCATGGTATTTCAGCAACATGTAATGGAGTGGATTGCAAAGAAAGAAATGGTTGAGAAGATGTAAAGTAATGAAAAGTATTAGGCATAATTGCCAATTGGTGACTGTTCAAAAGTAAAAATAAACAGTTGTGGAGCAGACACAGTAAGTCAAGAGAGGAAAATTATGGTTAATGTACACAAATCCGATTCAGTCATTTACATCAAGTCATTTAGTATGTGAGCAAAGATGCTAAGACCACTGGATGGGTGACTTCAAACTCCCCTGGCTCAGTGTCTTGAAATAAACTATAAATTAAAAATAGGGAATCTTGGCTGGGCATGGCGGCTCATACCTGTAATCCCAGCACTTTGGGAAGATCCCTTGATCCCAGGAAGTTGAGGCTGCAGTGAGCTCTGATTGTGTCACTGCACTCCAGCCTGAGCAACAGAGTAAGAACCTATCTCTAAAATAAAATAAAATAGGAAATACCATTTTGTCAGTTTCAGATGCTCACTGGTATGGGTAGAAAGAGGAAATTCCAGATGACTTAATCTAAGCACCTAAATGCAACCACTTCTGAACCTCCTAAGTAGGCATTCAAATCAGTAAATCCCCTTTATAACTTCAAAATAGTCATTGTCTTCATCTTCACACTAAAATTTAAGATCTATGTGGGGAAAGATTTGGTCTGTTATCAAGATATCCCCAACATTTACAAAAATGCCTATTACATGGCAGACACTCTAATACTATTAAATCGATGAGTAGCAAGTATAAGAAGCCCAATTCCATTTGGCCTTAATGAGGAATGTTGAAGAATGTGACTGCACTTACATACTTTCAAGTAGATATACCATCAGGGGCAACTGCAGGAGACACTAGAAGACATAGCTACTGACACATGATGCATAACTGCTGACTGTGTCAGACGGTATATATATAACATCTGTAGCATTAATTCCAGGTAAATAGAGCTGAAAATAAACCACTGCACTGTAGTCACTTGTGACCTATCTGCACACATGCTTTCTGATTTCATTTGTTCAGTAAGAAGCTTAACGAACTATATATTCCTGAACTGGCATGTTCCTTTGGGTTTTGATTTCTTGTTTCCCCACATACGCCAATTTGAGTTGGATTAAGCATAGAAAGATAAGTTGTAACTTATCTTAATAAAGTTCTGTACATTCATGAACCTGAGGAGATTGATAAATCCATTTTGGCTTCAATTTGGCTTGTCTTCAAAAAGCAAAACTTTGGCATTTCTTTGGTTCACTTCATTCTTCAGATGTCTTTTCTTTCTTGCTTTTCTCCAGTGTCATGTCTAATAATATGGTTTGGTTGTGTCCCCACCCAAGTCTCGTCTTGAATTATAGCTCCCACAATTCCCACATGTTGTGGGAGGAATCTGATGGGAGATAATTAAATCATGGGGGTGGTTCCCCCCATACT